AAATATCATAAAGCCTGCCATTTGAAATAAATAAATATTGCAGTGAGGGGTGTGCGGTAGACTTTCCTCCACGTGGTGCATCCTGGGCAGTTGACTTGTGACTTCAAACTACCACCACCCTTTTCACAGTACTCGTCTTACCTTTTCATTGTGTCTGCCTGTCTCTTTTACATCTGTGAATCACTCTTCTGTACCCCCTCTCCACTTTTTATGACTGTTTTTCCTCCGCCCTTCCTCTGCGGAGCCCGAACTCAGTTAAAGAGCTAATGATAACTATCAAAACGCCTGTCACTTGAAATAAATAAATAAATATTCCAATGATGTGAAATATAGCTGGACAGACAACGAACATTCTCATTAAATGCCAGTTTATTTAATCAAATCGTAAAATTGGCAAGGCGTGGAACTAAGATCACTCTCACGATGATTTACAAACCATATGTAACTATGTCATTTATTTTCACCCTATTGAACCAGTTCAATCATCTAAAAGCAGTTGAGTTAACATCCATGGCATCGAAAACACATTGATTATTTAGTAGGATATTTTAGAGCATTTGCTAGTAATCAATAATTATAAGGAAATGAAAGCACTTAAAAGTGTGAAAGTGGTTGTGACACAAGGCTGTGTTTTCACGAAGTCATTAGAAAAACTTGTACAACATTAATGACTTTCGCTCCATCATATTTGTTGTAAAACTCTATTTGTGAAGTTTGGACCACTTCAAGATTGAATTTACTTTCGGTTACACTATTTTAGGCAAAGTAAATTATGTAAAAAGCAGCCTTTCTCCGCGAAATGTTGACTAATTGGTAAGATCACCGCTCACAAAGTACATCACATTTGTGGATCCTTGTTGGTGACTACGCTAGGACATAGTTCCTGTTGTGACATTGGTGTATGGAACGAATAAACTTGGGCCAGTAAAACGAAGTTGATTAATTATCAACTTGGAGCTAAATGAGAAATGTTTCTTTATTAAAATAGCTCTTTTCGGCAGTACTTATCTTGCCCTGAATAGCCTCCACATAATTCATTTTTATGAGTTGACCATGACAACCAAAAGTTACTTCTTTTCTGCCGCACTCTGATTGGCTATTTGAAAAAGGGCGGGAAAGAAACGGACAAATTCAACAAACCCGCACTTGTCATTCTGCTTACCTGGCATACGTATGCGCGCGAGCTTTATTTTATTGAGTTGGCACGCTTTAGAATTGCGTAGGATTATGCGTCATTGATGATAAGCGAGCCCAAACTGTAACCTTGATTACTCAACCGCGCGTTAAGCAGGTTGGCAGGAGTGGTTGGTAAGGCGTTGCTACAAACGCAAAAATAATCTGAATTAATTCTACTTTCACGTCGGTTTCCTTTTTTTATAACAGGCTACTCATTAGTGAATAACGAGTCACTAAATCTCGCTTTCCATGAATTCCGCTAGGATTGGAGGCAAGTATCCTCCCGATGGTATTCTTTGAGTCATTTGAGCCTTGGTAAAAAATGTGATAGTATCAAATATATATATATTTGATCATCTATTTATGTTGGAAAGACAAGGTTAATCGATTAATTGTTGCTTTTTCAAGTAAGCAACATTTATCAGATGTTACTACTATTGAAATGAAACTGTCAACTACCTTTGCACAACCCATTTTAATTGGTGTTTACATTCTTTAATATAATTGTTGGCATTATTGAATAAAAGCACACTGATGGTGAACGGTTTATACATGGATGAGTGAAAAAAGTTGCAAATGTATAAATTATCTGACAAATTCGTTGTACTTTAAATATCTCAGTAGTATAATGTAGTAACAAGCATGAATGTAAACAGTTAGTCATTTCATCGACCTGATTGAGTGACTATCCACTACCCCAAATAAATGTTCCTCTGATGCACGCTTTCTACGAATTTGATCATATTCTATATAAACCTATGACCTTTGACAGTGCCAGATAGTTTATGTGATTTCCGCATCTTAGTAAACAAAAACTAGTCAAATGTTGTCCAACTTTCCTGTCTATCAAGATGTCCAACGAATTGGGATGCCAACCTGTCTAAATTATAAACAAAAAGCCAGTCCATTTGTTGAAAGGCACTTTAGACCCTGTATGAATTGGACAGCATACAGTGTAAAACTCTCAAGTTCGAGAGAGAAAAAAACTATTCAAAGCTCTTTGAGTGATTTTAATGACCCATTTCTTCTTTGTAAGCTTGCTGTTCCGAACGAGCAATCTACCCAGTGATCCTTAAAGAGACCTTTTATTTCATTTCACAATATGAAGATAAATAGGGAGAGCTCTAGATTTAAATTATGCATAGATGGTGGTGGTGGTAGTAGTATTAGTAACAGGAGTTCACAACTGCCGAATTTGAGCTATGAAAGGAGTTTCAACCTCTTTACAGATTAATGTCACTACTAATACCGCTATTACTTTGGCATTCTACAGCAGTTGAGATGGTATTTCAAAAATATTTATTTATTTCAAATGGCAGGCGTTTGGATAGCTATCATTAGCCCTTTAATTGACTTCGGGCTTCACAGAGGGAAGGTTCATCAAAGTAGCANTGCTACTTTGATGAACCTTCCCTCTGTGAAGCACGAAGTCAGCTAAATGGCTAATGATAGCTATCAAAACGCCTGCCATCTGAAATAAATAAATAAATTTTGGGACGCCCCACTTCATCAGCCGATCACTAAAGGAATTTAAATTTTTTATTTTTTGTATGCTTCTAAGGTGAGTAAATAATGTATAAAAAATTGATAGTAAAAATATTGCTTTTCTTTTTTACTGCACTTCAAAAATGACCTAAAATTCATGTCTTTAGAGCAGAATACACCCTTAAGATAATACTCCTTAAAAGTCAAGCAATTCATCCTTTAAGTGAATGCTTTTTAGTTAATTATAGTAGTGTATGGATTATATTGATAATTGGTATAACCATGTAACATCGATTTGGAGAACCATTTAACCCTTTTTTTTAATGATTCCAAGTGTGTCAATCAATTTAATTGTTTAATGTAACTTTTGTCAGTGTAAATTGGGGTTGTGAGTAGAAGTTTAATGTTGAATTCAGTTACTTTTACTGCATTGGCATGAAATTGAGCAATATGGACTTGACTAAGCTCAAAACTTATTGACTATAATATTTTAAAGGTACTCTCGCTTGAGGATGCTGAGATTATGGACAAATACTATACTTACCGCAATTAGAAGTCGAAATATCTATGGAAAGTGGATATGATCCTTGCCTTCTATGCCCAATTAAACAATGAGATTCGTCATAGGTGAAGTCACGTGTGTGTGTGTTGTAAAATCACTGTTAAGGAAAATTAATTCGAGCCGAATTGTATTCAAAAGCTTCAAACCAAAAAAACTTAATTTTCTTTACTGTAAACATGATGTGACTTTTTGATTCAAATCCGGCTACTGACAATAACTCATTCTGAATGAGTTACTGCAGAAAAAAAATAGTTGAATTAAAAACGGAGTGCCAACATAGCTTCCCATTGATGCTCTCATAGTAGTTAACCAATTAAAATTTGACAACAAAAATCACCGCTCTCGCAAGAAGAATGTATCGAAACAGTTCAACGACACCAGACAGTTTACCTCTTGATAAATGTTGAAGTTCTCAAGGTCTTTGAAAGAGCATTGCCCAGGAAGGAGAAGAAAATGAGTAATTTGTGGCAGGTCTTACGAAACATTGTCTGAATTTCTTTCCTACTGAAGGAAACAAATAGGAAAGCCTATTGGGGAATTTGATATAAGGAAATCGTACAAAATGTGTCCCATTTATCGGTTATGTCAAAAATTTATTTATTTATTTCAAATGACAGGCATTTTGATAGTTATCATTAGCCCTTTAGCTGACTTCGGGCTTCACAGAAGGGAGGAACATTAAAGTGAGAAAAATTCGACAAGGGAAAAGAAGAGCGATTCACAGATGTAAAAGAGACAGACAGACACAAAGGCAGAGAAAAGGTAAGATGAGTACTGTGGAAGGGGTCGAATATGACATACAGTGGGGTTATGGTAGTTTTAAGTCAGGGGTCAACTGCCAGTTAATAGACNTTTACAGATTAATGTCACTACTAATACCGCTATTACTTTGGCATTCTACAGCAGTTGAGATGGTATTTCAAAAATATTTATTTATTTCAAATGGCAGGCGTTTGGATAGCTATCATTAGCCCTTTAATTGACTTCGGGCTTCACAGAGGGAAGGTTCATCAAAGTAGCAGAAAGTCGAGGGGTGGGGAACAGAAGAGCGATTCACATATGTAAAAGAGGCAGACAGACACAAAGGCAGAGAAAAGGGTAAGATGAGTACTGCGGAAGCGGTCGAATATGACAAGCAGTCGTGCCATGGTATTTTGAAGTCAGAAGTCAACTGCCGGTTAATAGACTTTTTTGCCGTATGAGTATACGTTGCCCAGGGTGCACCACGTGGAGGTAAGTCTATTGCACACCCCGTATTTCAAAAATAAAATCAACTTTCTTAATTAGGGACTAGTCTGTGGTAACCGGATGACTAATCAGCCAAAACTTGCAGCAGCAGATCGATTTGTTCCTCGGGCAATCGATAATCCGGGCAATCATTGCTCTTGGACAGACGAGAAGGAGTCTGTCGATTTCTCTCAGAAAATATTCCACCCAGTCTTCCATTGTAAGACTTTAAGAATAGAAGTTTGACAAAACCCCTTATTTGTGTAATGTAGTCTCACATTCACAATTTTAGTAAAATTGTTATTCAGAGATGGTCTACCCCAATGTCATTTCTTCTTTGATAAACAGAACTGGATAAAAATTAAGTAGTTGAACAAGTTGAGAGCAGAGAACAGTACAGACGTTGAATGGAGAAGGGTTGACCAAGCGAAAACTATTTGACAAGATGAGATTTTTTACCGATAAGAATCAACATAGAAATATTGAAATGGCAACGATAAGTATAATGCCATTTTCTCTTGAGTTCAACAACGAAATCAAAACCCCTTTTCCATGCCAATGTGATAGATCTACTCCTGAATAAAGTGAACACGACCTGAATATTCTTTGTTCATCGGTGACCTTACGATTAAAGCTCCTGCCCATTAGGACAGAGGTTGCGAACTTGGTAACTATGGATGCGCCCCTAAGAAATGCAAGGGTAAAACATACTGTTTAGGTCTGCTTAATAAGGAGGGGTGGAGTGGAGCGAATATGAGTTTATCGTCAGGGTGCTCCCTTATTGTTGCGCCGCTATCCAAGGTAATCGACACAATACGCTCACCTAAATGAATTTGGAAATTTCAATTTATTCGCAGCAGAGAAATTGTTATTGACAAGAGAAAGCAATTTTTATACTGTTGATGCTATTTAAATATAAGTTGTAAATAAACACATGGGATTTTGACGGTTGGTGACAGTATGAAAGGTGATAGTAAGAGGGAGAAGAAGAGTACATACTATCGCGAATCCTTTAAATTAAGAAATGGAATTTAAGTCAAAGATCCTCGACTGAATAGGGGATAGGGGGCGACCTCTGATGTACTTTAGGTTCCGGTATTTTCTTACTCACTTCCAACGTTCTCTCATCCGTATTCTTCTCCGTATTCACTGGAAGGATAAATGGATCAAATTGATCCCCTTCTTCAAAAGTTGGTAGCACCAAAGAACCACCTTTAGAACTTCTGTTCATAATTTTAATCTTCGTCTTAATAACAGGAATTTCATCATCGTCCTCAAAGCTGTCCATGCTTTTGGCGATGGAAACCGGAGATTCCTGTGGTTCATTCTTCACATGCACTTTGAAATTGGCTTCACCATCTTGATTCAACAACACTCGGGAGCGACCTGAAGGGAACATTAAAAGTGCATGTTTACTTACAGATTATAAGTAGAAACTACTTTCCCCTTTCTGTTTCAATTGAGATTGAGTATATGCGAGCGATCATACTTAAGTGACCAAATTTGGCAATAAACTGACCTCTTGTCATAACCCCCCCCCCATCAAACTATGTGTAGATAATGAAGTTAAAAACTCATACACGATGTGTCAATAATTCAATACCGCAAATTTCAAGGATCTCAGCAACACCAAGGAATAGAAATGGGTTTAAAGGGACTTGAGGGTTTGAGATAGGAGATATAACATTGAAAAATATACGAAACCGAAATAGAATAAACTGAAACTCTCACACAACGTAAATTTGTCCATTTTGTAAACTCTTGGGAGGTTTGAGAAGATACTCGTTTCTAATGGATGATTGAAAATTAGATTCCCATAAAAATTTTAGGCGGTTAAGTGTCTAAAACCACGCCAAATTATCGGCGCCCTATAAAATTCGGAAATCCAGTTATTCAAGAGTCAAAATGGCGACCGATTTTCACGGAAGTGCGACTATTCATTTCGATGCAATGAACATCCAGAAGGAGTCCTGGATGGTATAAGAATCTGACAGAAATGATTGAGCAAAACACATTATTATTATTACTATTATTATTATAAGTAGAGTGTCTGGGCTGAAATTAATTTTTTCTTAAAAATCAGCGCATCGAAATCTGTTAGTATTTCTATTCCATTCAAGCCAACTATGCGTTTACTTCAAGCACGGACTTCATCACTCATTAATAATTAATAATTATAATAAGAAGCAAGAAGACAGCTAAAGAATTGCTATTAATTAACTGCTATAAATGTACCCCCCCCCACCCTTGGGGGAAGCTGAAGTCAAAGTTTTAAGGGCTAATGATAAATATCACAAAGCCTGCCATTTGAAATAAATAAATAATAATTAATAAAACTAATCTAAAGCAGAAAGACGCAAAATCACAGTATTGGTAGTGTCAATAACTAGCCATAATATTGGCACAGAGGTTGATAACTATTTCAGATCACATAAATAGTATGAACACACACAACGTTTACTCCCAGTAGACATTAATTAGTTAGTTACCCGAGAGGCGATTAGAGAGGACAAACGCATAAACCAATCAAAATTTACAATCAGTGAGAGATAT